AAAAAAAAAAAGAATTCACCTGGGATCACTGTATTCCTAAGAGGCAAACTGGGACTGCACACTGATTAATTATAAACTCAGAAACTCGGATGATGCCAGGAGAGACATCTTCTAGCTCTCATGGAAGGAGGGACATCATGACATCTATCATTTTGGGGTTGGGGAACGGTAGACCTCTGCTTTCCTAAGCCCCTCAGTTCAAAAGCAAGGGTCTCCCAGAGCTGCTGCCTCCCATGCTGGCTGGGCACCAACTGCTGCAAGGGCCACCATTTCACACAGATGATGACAGGAGTGTGTCCCTAGAGATGGGCAACTCAAGGGACTTGATTCCCCTAAGGTGGTCTTTCTACTAGAACAGTCCAGTCAGACTGAAGGATCAGCCGTTCAGTGCGGAAAGACTCTGAGGTAGAGAGCAAAAGCTTTCCCCGGTGTTAATTCAGCTGAACCACTGTCTGACTCACGGCCAGAGCAACTTACCTACAATACTGCTCAGGTATACCGCAGTGGGACCCGAAGCGGGAAAGGAACCGATTTTCCAGATCAATAGTTGTCTCTCCCACTTTTTCATCCCGGGTGAAGGTATCATAGTCATAGACGGAAATCTTCAGGTCTTTTTCTTGCGGTAAGTAGCAGGTCAGTTCGTACATTCTGAAGAAACAAATGGAAGGGGAACATCTCCATGCTGCAGCCAGGTACCTGGAAAAACCAGGACTGTGCCAAGAAGCCCAAACAATGGATCTGGCCATTGAAGGCGAACTCCTGACTAGGATTACCAGGGCGGGTGATGGCAGGTAGGGCACTATTTAAATAGTGAATACTATCAAGAGTGAATAAATAGTGAATTACAGCGATAAGAACATATAAGTACATGAGTTAGAGGGTTCAGGGGGTGAAAATGGGCTTAATACCTGGGTTCAAATCCCAGCTCCTATTGCTTAATATCTGTGGGACCCTAGACCTGCTATTTCATCTCTGTTCTCGGTCTTCTCATCTGTAAAATGGTGATGATAATACCTCCTAAACAGAGCTCTAAGAGTCAAATGTCCAAGTGGGTGGAGCCCTGGTAGTGCAGTGGTTAGAACCCTCAGCTGCTATCTGAAAGAGCCTGGGCGCAAACCCACCAGCTGCTCCAAGGGAGAAAGATGTGGCAGCCTGCTTCCAGACAGATTAAGCCTTGGCAACCTTATGTGGAAGTTCCACTCTGACCTACCAGGTCGGTGTAACTTGATGCCGACGAGTTATGAAGAAAGGCATAGAGCGCATCTCGCATGAGTGCAGTGCTCAAAAGCAAGGAGCTGTCATAATACCTGGGAGCCCTCGTGGTGTCATGGTTACCCATTGGGCTGCTAAGCACAAGGTGAGCAGTTTGAAACCACCAGCCGCTCCTTGGGAGAAAGATGAAGCTTTCTACTCCTGTAATGAGCTTCAGTCTCAGAATCCCACAGGGGCAGTTTTACCCTGGCCTATAGGATCACTGTATCAGCTCGGTGATAGTGAGTTTGATCATAATGATTGTTACTATTAATCATTTTTTTATTATCATACAGCTGGGAGGTTAGTAAAGCACAAACTCCCCTAATTTACCAAGAAGCGCTGGGGGTGGTATGGGCTAGGCATGGGTTGCTAAACAAAAAGTCAATGGCTCAAGCCCACCAGCTGCTCCTCAGGAGAAAGGCTGTCTGCTTCCATAAAGATCTACGGTCTCAGGAAAACTATACAGGGTCACTGCGAGTCAGGATTGACTTGCTGGCAGTGGGCTGTTTCATGTTTGCGAGCATGACTGCAGCCACTTTCATTTTAAGTCACTACGCTTAAGCACAGTTTTGCTTAGTATGTCATTTAGTTGGCCACTCATTTTCAATGCAGGCTCCCGCTGTGTCCCCAGAGTTCAAGCAAGAGTGTGGAGTGTTAACTACCATTCAGAGCTTGTCCTTATTCGAGTGGACCTGATCCTCCTGTTTCCCTCATGGAAGGTCTAATAAGCAGTCGGTTGGACAGTGGATGTCAAGATGATCAATTATAAAGTTCGTTGGCATGTTTTACCATGTCCACGATATTCTTGTGTTCTGTCATGGACCTTGAACAGGATAGCCCACCCATATGCAGTACATGGCTGGAATTATTAGGGAGATGGCTTACATGTTGCTTATAAACTTCGCTGAGCTAAGCACCTGCTCAAAGGCCTTGGTTGCTATAGGATGATGCTCCCTTACCTGGCTTCCTATTAAACACCTTCCATTTCTTCTGTTCCCCTGGGAATGTTGATTACTTGGGCCCAATCAATCCAGGGCAGGGACCTGGTTTTCAGATAACAATCCAGGGCCCAATCAATCCAGGGCAGGGACCTGGTTTTCAGATAACAATCATCTAGCCTCTGTCTGCTTCCAAAAAGATGTATGACCGTGGAAACGCTCTGGATGAATTGTATGGTCCTTTAAGGTCACTGTGAGTCAAAATTGACTTGGCAGCAGTAGGTGGGATACATGCTGTACTAGAGCCACCCCTCTGCCTCACAGGAGACCACCATTCCCCCACGGAATGTCTTTGGCTCAAGCCAAGATGGAAGTGTAAGTGGAGGAGTTGGGGTGAGGGAGTCATAGGTAAGATGGGATATGAGGAGAATTCGCCAGTAGGCTTCCTCCCTCCCCCCCGGCCCTCAGGGTCTGCCAATGACTTTGGTTCTTTAAGGCTTTTTGAATCGATACCATGTGTCTTAAAAAGCAAACACTTGTGAGATCAACCAAACTCTGCTCTTTGTGGTAGGTACAAAATGTGGAGTCGGTCCTGTAAGGGCGTTGGCGTGTATAGCACAAGCGGGCGGGGGTGGGGGGTGAGGGTGGGGAGAGGGGTGGTGGTGGTGGTGACTTTGCATTTACACCATCGAGAGATATCAGCGATCTGATTAGAACCCATAGAACTGCCTAATGGGGTTTTCCACGCAGTACATCTTTACATCTTTCTCCCAGGGTGGGGGCTGGCGGGCTCAGACACCACCCTGCTGCTTTTTGATGAGCAGCCAGAGCTTTAACCACTGCACCACCATGGCCTCTAGGGAGACACTGCGTCTGCTTTAATTCTTGCCCCAGAGCCCCGAGGCTCTCCTCTGCCCACTGCCCGGGCGGGCGTCTTTTGGCTTCTTGGACTCTGGTGGTGGCCCAGGGGAGGGGAGCCAGACAGGGATTGGCCCAGGCCTGCCTGACAGCATCGCTTCCTCCCAGGTTGGCTGGATCAAGCCTTTTCCTGCCACTGAAGTAGGCTTGGGCTTGGCTCCTCCAACGATTCAGACAGGGGCGCCTTTCTCCTTTCAAAGCTGGCTTTCTCTGCTCCCCTGTGCCCCACACGAGCCCTCCTGCCTGCCCTGCATGCTATTTCCTGTCTAGACCTCAGGGCTGCAGCAGCGGACCGACCAGAATAGAGAAAAAAGCAAAACAAAAAACCAATCCCATTGCCGGCCAAGGGATTCTCACGCTGACCTCGGCACGTGGCTTGGCGGTGGGGTCTAAGGCACAGAGGTGTGCACGCATGCACGCACACAGGTGTGGACTCAGGTACACACGTCTGCTTGTCCGCGGGGCCCGAGCGCGTGTGACGTGTGTGTGCAGCATGCTTCCGGGGGTGAGGAGATGCAGGCGAGAATAGGGGGTGGATCAGCCTGCCCAGCCTTTACCTCTGTGTGTGCGCATGTGAGAGACAGAGGGTGTGAGATCAAAATAAGCAAAACGAAATCAGACTAGAAGAGGATGTTAAGGTGAGAAGTAAAAAGATAGTCCCCACAGCAAACGAGAACACAGTGTCCCCCCACCCCCACTAGGAGGGTTTCCAGAAAGAACAGCGTCTTCAAGTGGGTTGTGCACGGAACATTTTTCTATGGACGAGGGCTTTGCCACGAGTCTGAGGCATTCCCAACAGTGCTGGAAAAGTGTGGGCTTCCAGCTGGGACTTTCCACCCAAATGTCCCCTCTGCCGCATCTGAGCTTGCAGCCCCATCGCCCTCACCTGTAAAGGGGGCTGCTGCTCCCTGTGCTGTGGGAACAGAAACACTGACAGGGCCTTGAACCTCAAAGTCACTGGAGATAAATGACCTGATGGCCTCTTCCTGGGATACATGACTAAGCTTACCCTCTTGGTGCCTCAGTTTCCTCAGTAGTAAAACAAGGACATTAGGACCACCTAAGAAATGCAGATAGTTGAGGGCTTAGCACAGCACCAGGCACACGGTGCTCACTTCCAGGGAGCCGATTCCGACTCGTGGCAACCCGATAGGGCAGGGTAGACCTGCCCCGGTGGGTTTCTGAGACTGTAACTCTTTGTGGAGTAGAAAGCCTCTTTTGTTTACCATGGTTTTGAACTGCTGGCCTTGTGGTGAGTAGCGCAACAGATAGCACCATGCCACCAGGGCTCCCGAGTACACTGTGGCTACTCAGCACAGGTCAGTGATTGTGAAGCGAGGAAGCAGTTTTCAGCTGATCAACTGCTGGTTACATAGACGCATTTGCCTTACTCTTGGGATGGCTGCGATAAAATCAAAGCAACGGACCAGAAACAAGTCCAACGTTGTAATGATGAACAATCATGCTATTTCTCCAATCTCAGGGACATGTGTTGAAGGCTTGTATAAATATCTAAACTTAGAAAGAAAGATGACAGATGAAAAAGGACATTTTGACCCCATCATTTTTGGTCCCCCTCTCAATTTTGACAAGGTCAATACATTCACTGGATCACAGTGTCCCAGAAAAGTTTTGTGAGAAAACAGAGCGCTGGCTGGGGTCAGGATGTGAAGAGGCAGCATTTCACTACCGTGGAGTCATTTAACCTTTCCTGCTTGTCTAGACCCCCACCTACCTCCTACGTCTACACTGGAGGCCTGGGCTGGTGCGGTTAACACTCAGCTGCTGATCAAAAGGTTGGAGGTTCAAGTCCAGCCAAAGGCCTCTTGGAAGTCAACCTTGACCACCTACTTCTAAAAACAACAGCCACTGAAAACTGTCGAGCACAGTTCAACTCTGATACATGGAGTTTATGGAAAAGTCAAAATCTCTCTGCCACAGAGTCAATTCTGACTCACAGCGGGCCCGTAGGACAGAGTAAAACTGTCCCTGTGGGTTTCCATGACTTTAACTCTTTACAGGAGTAGACAGCCTTATCTTTCTCCTGGAGCAGCTGGTGGTTTTGAAATGCTAATTTTGTGGTTAGCAGGACAATGTGCAGCCCACTGAGCCACCTCAATTCAATGGCACTGGTTAGGTGTGTCCTACCCTGCCTCAGCCCACCTTGGTGGCTGGCTCTGGACAAAGCTCTCCTCCAAAAAGTGTCTACTGTGACTTGGATTTCTTTTCTTCATGGCTCTTTCACCTCCCGGAAATCTTTGTGCGTTTACACGCTACTGCCCTGCCAAGAAGGTCTCCCCGCCCTGGCCCAGCAGCTTCGGGACCTAGAACAGAGCCTGGCCCACAGCACGTCCTGTCTACACAGTCAGTGGAAAAAAGTGAGTGCGCGGTTAAAAACCACCAAACCTTTCCAAGGGGTGGTGGGGAGGAAAACAGAGGAGCCGATACCAAGGGCTCAAAAGAAAGTAAACATTTAGAAAATAACGATGGCAACATATGTGCAAATAGGTTTGATGCATTTGATATGTGAATTGTTATAAGAGCCCCAATAAAATGATCTTTTAAAAATAATAATAAAAACCTTTTAAGAAATCGTCATTACCTTCCGAAAACTGGGTTGAGAGTGTTGGGGACGTAGTGGTCCCGATCCTCAATGACTTTTCTGCCCAGTGTTATTTTTATGTAGGGGTCGCACTGCAGAGGGGAAACGAGATGGTGTGTTATGCCATCCTGGGGTGCAAGCTGAAGTCAGTTTCTGGGACAGCCCCAGGTGTGTCTCCACACCCACTCCCAGGAGGCTGCCGTGTGGGGCACACCAAGGGCCTTCGGAGGCTGGGTGGGGTGAAGGGCGGTGGTAGGGAGGTGGCCCGGCTTCCCAGGGACTGGCTGGGTGACTTGGGCAAATTTCCTCCGGGGTCACTTTGGCAAGTGAGGAGGATGAAGGAGAGCCCCCTCTAACCCCCGTAGGGACACTCGTCCTGAAGACAGACTTTTGCTCAAATATCTTCCCGCCTCTGCTCCCCAGCCACCCCCGCCCCCACCCCCCAAGTGAGATAACAGACGCCCAGAAAGAAAGAAGATGACAATTATGGTGGCTGATGACTGTAATTATCTTGCTACAGGACAAGGCCCCACACCCAAACTCTTACCAGGCCATTGTTGTCCTGGGGTTGGAGCGCTAAGCCTCGAACAATGTAAATCCTAACTGTGCATTCCTGCGGGACGCTGTCAGGTAATTCCCGAAACTGCCGGGGCGGGGCCGGCACGCTGGGGTCATCCGGCAGCGGGTAGACACGGAAGGAGCCCTAAGACAGAGACACAGGGGTGAACTTGCAGGCTCCCGGGACACTCAGGGACAGCCAGAGGGGTCGTCAGATGGGGTGAGGGCAGGCTGCCTTTGTGAAAGGGACAATAGCTATCAGACTGGGCGCCTTTCCAGCAGGGACAGTTGCCCGGAAGGAAATTATTGAATGGCACACGGGAGAGAACGGGTGGGGTGGAAGCAGGGAAGTCAGCGGTGGAGGTGGCCTGGACCGGTCACGTGGTTGAGCTGGTGTGATCCTGCATCTCTCTTTTTCTCCTGCATATCTTTCGAAAGGAGGAAGAAAATAATTTTCAAAAACCAACAAAGTAGCAAAGGTGATTGTGCTGTTTGCAGCACCCCTCCTTAAAGCCCTCGAGTGCTGCCAGGCAAACTCCTGTTCACCCCTCTGCCCTTAATGGAAAGGAATCACTCCCCATCCCCCAAACCCCTTGACTGCCCTGGTGTGGTGTGTCTCCCTGGCTCTGACGGAGCCCTGAACTCAAGTCTGTTGTAGTCATGTGCTCTGTGCCATCCTGTCTAGTCACCGTCTCCTTCACCAGACTGTGAGCTGTGTTCATCACTCAGCGATGGGCATCGAGGAGTAGGGGCATAATGAATGTTTCAGGCCAGGGTAAGGGGCCATGCATGTTACCTCCAATTCTGCTTCAGCTCCTGGGACAGCTCCCCTATTACTGTGGACGGGTGATAGCAACCCTGTGACACTGCAACCTCTATGGGAAAGGAGCCCTGGTGGCCAATGGTTACGAGTTGGGCTGCCAACTTCAGGGTCAGCAGTTTGAAACCACCAGCTGCTCCTCTGGAGAAAAATGAGGCTTTCAACTCTTGCTTGGCGAGAGACACAATCTTGGGAAACCGCAGGGGCAGTTCTACCCTGTCCTCCAAGGTCGCGATGTGTTGGAATCATCCCGATGGCAGTAAGTGGATGACTAGGCCCTTTTCCTGCGGTGTGGCTGGCTGGGCTGGCTGGAACTGCCTACCTTGAAGTTAGCTGGGGAGTGCTTAACAATGGTGCCATCAGGACTCCTTACTCGTGAACTTCGGTCCAGTTACATTCATTCAGTAAACCAGCATGAGTTAAGCTGTGGCGTGGTGCTGTCAGATAAACACTGGACTGCTAATCTTAAGGTCTGCAGTTCAAACTCACCAACCACTCTTAAGGGGAACGATGAGGCGATCTGCTGCTTCTAAAGGTTTACTGGCTCAGAAACCCTATAAAGGGTGGATATGAATCCGTCTGCTGAGAGGACATACAAGCCTGTCTTGATAAAAAGAACAGCGAACATGCTCCTTAGAGGCAAGGATGGCGAGACTTCGTCTTCCGTGCTTGGGACGTGCGATCAGAAGAGACCAGGCCTGGAGAAGACCAGCACAACCGAGAAAGACCCTGGGAAGATGGACCGACACAGTGGCGGCAACAAGGGACTCAGATCTAAAAGGCGATTGTGGGGACGGCACAGGACCAGGCAGGGGTTTGTTCGTTCCCTTGTGAGTCAGAACGCACTCCGCGGCACCTCGCCACAGCAACACACATCAGCATCCGCTGCGTGGGGCCGGGTTTGATTCTGATGGGGTATGTGCCAGCTCTTGGGGACACCGACATGAACTAAGGCACCCAGTGTGGCACAGGGATGCTAACTCATATGACTGTCTGGCCATCTTTGGTTATTTGGTGAGAGGCACAGGACCCCAGAAGACGTGGACCTGGGCTGTGAACCCCCAAGTCAGCAGTGCAAACCCACCAGCTTCTCTGAGGGGGAGAAAGACAAGGCAGCAAATACGTACAGGCTCAGAAACCCTGGGGAGCAGGGCTCCTCTGTCCTAGTGGGTCGCCATGATTGACTTGACAGCAGGGGGTGGTGATGAGGAGGCTTCTGAGGCCACTCCTAACTCTGTTGGTTAGCAAGGTCTGCTGCAGGTAAAGGCTACGGAAGTAGCAGCCACTCTGCCATGCATTTGGCAATGGCGGGAGGGACAGGTAGATATTGTCATCGCAGCATGAACCCAGACCTGTGGGAGCCTAGAGCGGGAGTGAGTCACTCTGCCTGAAGCCACCGGGGGACACTCACAAAGAATGTGACATTGGAGCTGGCCCTCACAGAATGAAGAGGTCTCTAAAGAGGAAGGGAGGGGCAGCCAGGGCTGAAGAAGAACCTGTCCCAAGGCTCTGAGTTGTGAGAGGGCAGGGTGTGTTTGGGACTCGGGAGAGGTTCTCCAGGGCAGCAGGGGAGGGTGTGTGAGGGCAGGGCCGCAAGGGAGCCAGGGAGCCTGTGAAAGGCCGGCTCTGCCTTTGGAAGGAGTTGAGACTTGACCCTGTGGAAACCTAAGTGGTGTCTTGATGCAGTCGGGAAACATGACCGGTTTGGGTACAGGAAGGATGGACTGAAGGGAAGAGAGAACAAGGACAGGGACAATTCATTGGGAAGCTGTTGCAACGGTCTTGCGAAAAGCCCGTGAAGGGAGAGTGGGCCAAGCAAGGAGGGATGGGATCACAGGAGGTGGACTCTCTAACATGCAGGGCTGGCCGGCCTGAGCAAGGGAGGAGAAGTGGCTTTGAGTGTGTGGGCTGCCCTGGCCCTTTTTCCATGTTTGCACCTCTGAGCATCTGTCCGATGTTGAAGGGCAGCTGCTTGCCCCAGAGAAACCCCGTCTGGTCCCTAGAGGAGATCACAACTCCTTGTACTTTTCCTTCATCGCATTTACTAGTTTGCTATCTTATATTGCTGTGATTCTGGCTGGTTACTGCCATCGAGTCGATGCTGACTCATGGCAACCTTGTAGGACAGAGTCTAACTAGCTCCGTGAGTTTCTGAGACGGTCAATGTTTACGGGAGTAGAAAGCCCCAAGGAGCGGCTGGTGGTACCCAACCGCCGGCCTTGAGGATCACGGCTGAATTCGTAAGCATGGTACTATCAGGGCTTCTATTTGTTTTGATGGATTAGTCAGTACTAGAGACTGCTTCCACTCTTCACCTGTCAGGTGTTCTGTGGTAGCTGGCATGTTCCTAGGACGCTGGAAATGATAGCACTTGTATTTCACTTACTAACTGTCCCTGGTGGGCAGCTTTCAGTGGCACTGCCAGACTAAGACAGACAGGAAGAAACTAATGATCTCCTTCTGAAACCCCACGAAAAATGTTATGGATCATACCAGAATACTATCTGATACAAGGCTGGGAGATGAGTCCAAGCTTAACAATAGTCATGAGGACGGGACAGGACTGGGCCATGTTTGCTTCTGCTGCGCACGAGGTCACCATGAGTTGGCAACTAACAAGTGACTAATTCATGACCACAGGCTCTCAGAGGGAGGGCAGAAGCAGGGTCTATTTTCCTTTCTAACCACATCTTTAGATTTAATGCAGGTCCTGGCCCAAGAGCATTGAGGGAAAAAAATCACTTAATGAATAAATGAATGCATAAAGAAGCGAGTCTATGACTGAGTGGATAATGATGCCGACGGAGAATAGGAACAAAGGAAGCGGGGAAGGTGTGCCGGTGCAGGGAGGGCTCTTAGTCTGGGATCTGTGGAGTCTGAAGGGCTCAAAAGGCATTCAAAAGCCAAGGTGCAAAAGGCTGATTCTCTCTGTAGCTTTGGCAAATGACTTGTCATCTCTGGGTTTTGTTTATTTCACTGGTAAACGAAGGAAAAGAGGCTAGACAATCGGTGATCCATTCACAGCTGGGAAATTCTATATTCTGATTTCCTGCCGCTTTGACGTTTCCTAATAAAGGCTTCCACGTTTGGACATTTTTGCTGTTGGGTGCTGTCGGGCTGAGTCTACCTATCAGATAGGGTAGACGTTTCCCCTGGGGTTTCTGGCTTGGAATATTTCCAGAAATAGGTGGACAGGTCAGATCTTTCTCCCAGAGGACTGCTGGAGAAGTTGGAACCAGCGGCCTTGGTTACAGCCGAACACTTAACCGTTGGCCACCGCGCTCCGTGTTTGGAAGCTGCCGAGGAGCACGCACCATCATGAACGGCTTGCCGTCGCTCAACGCTGCTTTCTCATCCTCACCACTACAGGGAAAGCTGGATGCAGGTGGCTCTGTGGGTGACCCAGGCAAGTGTTGCCCAGGTCTTCTTACTGGGACCGCTGACCACCTAAAAGAAGGCCTTCTCACCATTCTGGAGATTGTTGGCAGAGCGTCTCGGTGGAGAATATTAAGTACCACCCTCTGAGGACTCAACAAGGAGCCCTCGTGGCATCGCGGGTTACAAGCTGGGCAAGTTCAGCAGTTCGAACTCACCAGCCTCTCTGCAGGAGAAAGATGAAGCTTTCTACTCTCTCACAGACGGACAGCCTTGGAACCTACAGGAGCTCTTCTACTCCGTCGCACATGGTCTCTGGGAGTCGAATTGACGCACTGGCAGGGAGTGCAGTTGGAGTGGGCAGACCATGCAAGGAGCCTTGGTGGTGTACTGGGTTAAGCGATGGGTTGCGAACCACAAAGAGGCTGCCTGCGCCTGTAAGTATTTACGGTCTTGGAAACCCAAGGAAGAGTTCTACTGTGTCCTACCCAGTCACTATGAATTGGAGTCAACTCAATTGTTTCAGGGTTACAGACTCATCGATTTTACACGTTTCTGAGCAAAGAACTAAAACCGCTTGATACTCTATCTAAAAGACATGGATGCTCTTTATCCTAGGTACATCTAGAAAATAAAAATGAATCATCAGCAGGAAAAACCAGCACATTTTACTCACCTTAAACTCTCCAACCACAGAAGGATCATCGCTCTCGTCGGATTTGCCTCGGTACAGCTTGAACGTATCTGAGAAGTCGGTCAGGCCCTCAAATTCCATGACCTTCTCTAGTTCACAATCGTAGATCTGAAAACCAGCAACAGAGCATGACTCTCTCGTCCACACAAAGGCACACAGTCTACAGTCAGAAACAGAGAGGCTGACAACAGCAAACATTCCCAAGGATGTGGGCGGAGCAACGGAGACTCACATTGTCCACGTGTAAAACACGGCATACAACCCACTTTGGGGGAAATGTTAAATGTCTTCATCATTAAACATCTCTCTATTCTGGAATCTAGAAATGCCATGCCTAGCTATTTACCCAAGGGAAATAAGGACATGCCTACTTGGTACAAGAAGGTCCACTGAATCTTCATCAAGAAGATGAGTAAGAGCATCACAGTGTGGGCTATCACACAAGGGACTAGTAGTCAACATTAAAAGGTGCCGATGTCGTTTGGACTGGTGCCCTCAGTAACACATTGACTCTCAGAATTCCTATGCTCGGCTAAGGAATCCAAGCACAACAAGATGCATACTGCATGGTTCCATTTCTATGAAGTATAAAAATAGGCAACGCCACTCAACAAGGGGAGAACTCAGCTACGAGGTTGCACTGGAAGTAAAGAAGGGTGGTGTGGAATTGCCTCGAAAGGAGCACCAGGGTTGTCTCTGCGGTGAGGGATCTATGGCTTGTTTTGAGAGATGGTGTGTACAACACGCAAAACTCATCAACTATCGCTTCACTATATGTAAAGCAAACCTTGAAAAAGAACTGGAGGAAGAAGAAAAGGGAGAGGAGAGGAAGAGAGCATGAGAGGAAGGGTGTGAGAAAGGAGGACCAGTTGCAGTGATCCACGATCCCAGTTTGATCGTTTTCTGTTAGTGGCGGCCATACATGCTGGCATTCCTTAAGATGTTTTGAGATGTTCCGACAATAGGATGAAAGGGTGTCATCCTCCCCTCCCATTTTGGTGGGGAAAATGAATTTAAGGGCTAGGTGTTTTTCATTTTAAAGCATTTTCTCTATAGATTGTTCTCATGAGTCGACACCTCCTTCTACTGATAAAGCTCATGGACAATTGAAACACTCATCACACCAACAGGAAGATTATCGCCAGCCTGCTTAGTTCAGTGTCAGTCTCCTGATACATATGGCCCAAGGTTGGAATTCTGCATCCACGTAACAGCATCCACTTTTCAGGTAATGAAACAGATCCCGATGTGCAAGGCAGCAGGATGGTCTTTGAGGACTGAAGCGTGTTGTCCTACGGAGTCCCATGATTTCTAGGTCTCCCTGAGTCTAACTGGGCAGTTTGGGACATATTTTTTGTGGGGCAAACCCGTGACCAGCCCTCTGCCTGATGTCCCAAGCCCCAAGTGGCAGACAGGTAGTCATAGTTTGGGAGGGCGCCTCAGGCTCCTGGACTCATGAAAAAACACAACCCACTACAAGAGCGCTCTCGCGGCTCTTCCACATCAGTCACTACTAGGGCCCTTTCGCCTTCTCCTTGGCTCTGCTGTGGCCAGGATTAATGAGTGGTGATCCCCCGCCCACAGCAAGAGATCTCATACCTTGAGTTTGGAATAGCCTTTCTGAATATATTGTCCACATTTTTCATGTTCCCCTGTGGAAGCATAAAATTTACTCCACCAGTCAACGATTTCTTCCTCCTAAGCACATGCCAAAATGGGACGGGAGGGGGGGGAGAAAAAAACCACTTTAATGATGACCTGGATTCGCAATCTATGAAGAAAAGCCATACGGAATAGGTAGCAAAAACAGGTACTTCTAAACCTGTAACAGAAACAGGTGCAATTATAAGATGTTTATTTACAAGAACAGAGGACAAAACATTTAAGATTCTTCTGCCCATAGGCTGGAGGTGGAATGATCATCTTTAACCTTAACCAATGAAATGTAACCAAATGAAACATCCCTGTGGTTACACTAGATCAGTGGTTCTCAACCTGTGGGTCGAGACCCCTTTGGGTTGAATGACCCTTTCATAGGGGTCGCCCGATTCATAACAGTAGCAAAATGACAGTTACGAAGTAGCAACGCAAATAATTTTATGGTTGGGGGGGGGTGGTTTCACCACAACATGAGGAACTGTATGAAAGGATGGCGGCATTAGGAAGGTGGAGAACCACTGCACTCAATGACTTTCAATAACCTACTGTCACCATCATGGAAGCCCTGGTTAGTTAGTGGGTTCCACATTGGGCTGCTACCCAGAAGGTCAGCAGTTCAAACCCATCAGCTGCTCTTTGGGAGAAAGATGAGGCTTTCTGCGCCAGTGAAGTTTTATAACCTTGGAAACCCAAAGGGGCAGTTTTAGTTTTACTCTGTCCTATAGTGTCGCTTTGAGTCAGAATTCACTCGGTGGCAGTGAGTTCAATTTGGCTTTTGAGACTGACACAATCTGTTCACTTGTCTATCCAATCTCAGAAATCTACAAGGGCAATTCTACTCTCTCCTATAAGGTTACCATGAGGCAGAATTGACTTGATGCCAGTAAGGATGTTTTTGGGGTTTTTTGGTTTTTTTGGTCATATCGAGATCACTAAGCTAAGGATTTGGGAGAATTGGTCAAGTTCAAATTTCATCCCTTACAGAGAAGCCTAAATTGCTCGAGCAAGTTGTTTGACGTCTCTGAGCACGGACTGAAGTACAAATACCACTTGCCTCCATCTTTCTCTGAAGATCGACTTGAAGGTCAGATACGTCATTAGGAGAAGGAGTTTTGAACACTATAAAATGTGAAGGGAAAGCAGGAAAGCACTGCATCTAGTTTAGACCTGTGCTCCCCGAGATTCTGACTCAGTCAGCTCGGGTGAGAACGACCATTTGATAGGTTTCCAGAGCTGCTCAGCTGATTCTCAAGGGCCAGCCTCCACTGAGAACCTACAGTTTGGATGAGTGGTTCTTAGTTGGGCAGAAGGACCAACCTCAAGCCAGTCGCTTGAGGTTTCTATAACTACAAAGGATCTCCTCTTAGATTTCTAATAAGAGCGAGATCTTCATCAGACCCACTATGGGTTATATTAATTTATCTGGGCAATGATACCCAAAGTACAGACCTACAATATAACTTCCAACTGGGTTGGGAGACGGAGAGAGGAACAGGCACTCATTTTTTATTTGCACAACACATACAACAACACTCCCTGCCATAGAGTCAGTGTTGCTCATAATGACCCTATAGGACAGGGCAGAACTGCCACTGTGGATCTCTGAAACTCTTAACTCTTTATGGGAGTAGAAAGCCTCATTTTTCTTCCAACGAGTGGCTGGTGATTTAGAACTGCTGACCTTGTGGTTAGCAGCCCAACTTGTAGTCATTATGCCACCAGGGCTCCTTTAAGAACAATTATGAGAATGGTGCAGGACCAGGCTCCTTTAAGTTATGAGAATGGCACAGGACCAGGCAATGTTTCATGGCACCAGCTCGCTGGCACCTACCAACAACAACATGCATACACACAGTCACTGCCTTCCCCCTTAAGCCAATACCCCACAGCAGAATCTATACATTTTTCTTTATGTATAGGCATGAATTAATGAATGAACATGGAATTTGAACCTAGAAGAATATAGACAATCGTTACCTTTTCTGTCAGCTGCTCATGCACATGAATGGGAAGGATGCGAAGAAACCATGTAACAGGCCACGTGGATATGGGAATCCCACAAGCATCGGGTTTAAAGAGAGAGAGAGAGAATAAATTAGATTTCCTGTAGGTTTTTATAGTATGGCTATTTTATGGATTGTTTATTCAATTCACGATAATTTCTTCATTAAATACAACTTATTGGTTGTGTCCCTGAAAATATACAAAAGAATTACACACAGTATTAGAGTGAAAAGCTTGGAGGCAGCCCACCTATATCCCATCATTTCAGTAGCATTAAACAGTCTTAGTATTGGCCAATGCCATTGTCACATGAGCGGGGGAGGGGCTAGCTCCTAGAGAATACCCCAACTTGGCCTTCTGCATCCTTTCAAAATTTCTCCCATTGCAAAAGTAGTGCGTTTAGCATCACTTCAGTACCGCCTCCTAGGTACCTTCCCTTGCTTGTCCCCATTTCTGCAATAGAGCACCATATAAATAAATGCCCAGCGTTCCAAATTGCTCTAGCATGAAGTTTTTCCATTGGCTAAATCCTGATGTTTGATTTTTTTTTTTCATGAAGAATTCATTCCTGATATCAGGGACATCTAAAAGAGTGAAGAGCTAGGATTGCAGGGTTTTCTCTTTGCACCTGCTGGGACACTACCTAAGTTGTCTTCGGGAACAGTTTCAAGAAATGCTACCGAGAGCCTCCTTCTGAGATCCTCATTTAAGTTTATTTTGAACGTGGGGCGCGAACATCTCAGCTACAAACTGATCCTGCATCTGCTGTGTTGGATACCCAAGTTTCTCCTGCCAGGATTTTCTGGATCTGGGCTTTTGTCTCTCCCGCCCACCAAGAACTGCCAAGAGAGGCAGAGAGACAGATTTACCAGTTCTTTCTATTAGACTCATACCAAAGCGAGATTAAGGGTTAAATCATCGCAGCTGAATCAAGATTTTGGAGAGAAGGCTTGTACATGGAAAGCATGCTCCCGCTCTGAATTCAGATAGTTAACATCTTGCCTCTTCACATTTATTCTCCACCACTCACAATCATTTTAAAGAAAGAACATGTTGATGATTTCCAAAGCATTATTCAAAACAAGTGTCTGATTTTTAAGTTTAGGACTAATTGGGGAGAATTTATTCATGTGTGTCTGCTCATTAGTTCAAAACTGAAGCGTTTTGCTCCGAGTATATCCCCTGATGAACTTGCAGTGGGAATAAAACCATGAAACGGTACAGAAGATTCTTCCCCGTGGGCTTACGCGATCATATTTGTTTAAAGATCACCTGTCACTCCAAAATCCGCTAATAGAAAGAATCTGAAAGGAGGATTGAAAGGCTCCCCCGAGGCCCCCAGAGTCCCAGGCAGCAGCTTCATGCATTTTTCTTATCATACATACATACATGCACTGTTGTTGGAGAGGCCATTTTGCTGAGTGCTGTAGACATACTGCTTAAGCACTGGAAGTGGAAGGTAATTGTTGAAACGGCCACATCATCATGTCCAGGTTATCTGGCTAGCACTTACCAATTTGCCCCAAATCTTTTTTTCTCATTGTTCTTGTAGTGTGCCAAGCCCATTGGTTACACACCCCCATGCACATCACAGGGTCATGTTGCAGGTTTCACCCAAAGCCACAGCCTGCAGTCCCAGCCCCTAGCAGTACCATGGTTAGTTTCGACTGCTCCTTGATCTCATCAAGGTACGATGCATGAGCTGAGTTAGTGGTCAACATGTACATCTCCATGACTCGACTTCGGCAAGCTGGTAATCAACGGCCTCAAAGCTCAACGTCGCCCATTGGATTTTGCAGAGCTGCCTACCCAGACAATAGGATGGGAAAATGGAATCCCCCTTTTTTTTCTTAAGAGGCGGTTTCAATGAACCTTTCTTATCAACCCAGCCTACCTCAACTCAGTATCATTGAGGGGACGGGGTGGCTCGTGACTCATCACGGTGGGTTGCAATGTGAAATTCTAGTGGTGCCTTCAGAACTTGAGCCAGATGCTGCCACCGTAGCCTGGTCATCTGAACAGGCATTTAAGAACAGAAGGAAATTCCAGCCAGAGATTGGTTTTCTTCTTCTGAAGGCCCCCATAGTATGCAGCAGGCGTATAGTAAGAATGGACTGACAGCGAGAGGTGGCTGACGATAAAGCAGTCTCCAACTACCTTTTCCTAGAGCAGGTATGAAACGGTGGAAGCAGGGCCCCAGGTATAATTTACTCCACTGCTCCCTCGCTGCATCTTTCCTGCCGGGGACACCGAGGGAGTTTACAAAGTGGAAGCATCGTGCGGCCGTGTGAGACTGCAGTTTGTGACTGTGGAGGATCCCGGGGGTGGCCTCGAGCACCGTGCTGGCTGTGGAGGGCACATTAAACACGGTCCGGTTGCTAGCGAGCTTAATGCGGTAAGAACAAAGTGGGTTCTTTCTGTGCAAGGCTCTGTTTATCGACATGACGTATTAAAGTGCAATCTGATGCATTTGGGGGCTAGTTGACATAGTAAACTGTGCTGTGAAAGCGCATCACAAATGCCAACGACAACACCAAGATATCTGGTGTGCTCTTTTCCTGGGCTGAGACTTCCCCTCCCCGGCCCACCCTTTTCCTTCTTGTACAGTGGCTTGAATGGTTTCAACATAGCCACCTGAGTGAGCACTTCCATCCATTGACTCACTTCAAAACCACAGTGAGTTCTAATGTGGGCTGTTCCCCAATACTGACAAAACACTCACGGCCACACAGTCCACCTGCTGAGGAGAGGGTAGAACTGTCCCCCCATGGGGTTCTGTGACTGAAATCTTTGTGGGAGTGGGCAGCCTCTTCTTTTTCCCTGAGAGCAGTTCGTGGATTGGAACTGCTTGGAACCCACTAAGCCACTAGGCTCCACAATCCTCACGCTTTACGTAAGGGAAACCATCAGTGGGCTGTACGCAGTCCTGTTATCCTGTTCTGAACCGAGCAGGGGCATAAATGTGCTCCCTGACTTTCTCTTTCTAGCAAATAAAATAGCACTGGACCAGTGGTTCTCCACCTTCCTCATGCCGTGACCCTTTCATACAGTTCCTCATGTGGTGGTGACCCCCACCCCAAACATAAAATTATTTTCGTTCCAATTTTAGTATATGTGCTGCCGAAGCGAGCACCATAAAATTATTTTCATTGCTACTTTATCACTGTCATTTTGCTACTGTTATGAATCAGGCGACCCTGTGAAAGGGTCGTTCGACCCCCAATGGGGTCGCGACCCACAGGTTGAGAACCGCTGCCCTAGCCTGTCCAGAGGAGTGGTTCCCAGACCTGTTTGCACATGAGAATTCCCTGGGGGTGGGGGTGGAGGTGTAAATATATTGGTGCCTAGGTCTCCCTCCGTCTTTGGGGGTGGCAGGGTGGGGTGTGGGGTGGCCTGGCCCGGGTATTGTTTTCCGTTTCCTCCCACGATTCTGATTCCCAGCGGGGGTTCAGTCAACCCTGTCATCATGACCATCAATGAGCGAAAGATCTCGATTATTTTCTTCACGACGTCCTTGACAAACTGGCTGGGTTACTACTATTGTCTAATGGCAGTGAATGGTGGTTTGACTCGGTCACCAAATGCTTAGGCATCTGGATGACAAACGTGCCATGAGCCAATGGGCAGCTCTGAAGCCTACCTTAGAAGCCAGCAGTGGCTTAGTGTCTTCCACTTCAATGATGACATCCCGGCAAGGTGGGGCGGACATAAGGGAGGCTGCAGGAAAAACAATTTCATCATCTAAATCCAGGGCGGCACATTCGACGCCGAGTTCAAGTGTAAGAGCCACAGCATGAATGGTGAGACTTTCTGAATGCAGGGGACCCCGAATGCAGAAAATAACCCAGTCATCGATCACATTTCCCCAAACATAAGAGGATTTTAGATATTGTCTAGAGCAGTGGTTCTCAACCTGTGGGTCGGGTGGAACGATTGTTTCACATGGGTCGCTTGATTCATAATAGTAGCAAATTACAGTGATGAAGTAGCAACAAAAATAATGTTATGGTCTGGGGGTCACCACAACACGAGGAACTGTATGAAAGGGCCGCGGTATGGGGAAAGTTGAGAGCCACTGCTCTAGAGCATTCCACGCCCCATTGCTCTTATCTTTGGCAGACTTTCATGGGCCATTGCTCTTTGGTTTGGTGGGTGTGGCATACAGTAAAAAACAAAATCAGACAAAACCGTTATTAGGAGGGACCAGTCCTGAGAAGGACATCATACTCCGTAAAGTAGAGGGTCCGTGAAAGAAGAGAGGCTCTTACAAAGACACATGACACACTGGCTGCAGCAACAGCCACAGGGACACCGCTGGTTTTGAGGCTGGTGCAGGACTGGACTGTGCTCCGTTCTGACATGCCTAGGGGTTGCTACAAATTGTAACGGGCTCCTCACTCAGTAAAACCATGTGCTAAGCATCTTATTTGCAGCAGCTCATTGGTCCAATAAGACTCTATTGCTGCCGACACAATTCTGACTCACAGGGTTTCCAAGGCTGTAAATCTTTACAGAGGCAGACAGCTACCGTTTTCTCCCAAAGAGCTGCTTGTGGGTTCGAATCCCCAACCTCGGGGGTCGGCAGCACATGCTTTACCACGATGCCATTGGGGCTCTTACTCATTGACCTCTCCCCATCCCGCCACTCGGTGATTCCATAAAGGATGCATCTTCTGCTCATTTTACACATGATAAACAGCCCAACCGGGGCTGAGAGAAAGCAAGTCACTTGCCCAGGTGAAAACATTGTGCTGGAAGTGGAAGTCAGCCGCCTAGGTCTGTCTGAACCCCAAGCTAGGGTTTTAGGCATAACCTCTGAGCTTGGGGCAGAGAAGATGCTCAAAATCCATGAAGAGAACCAATCGGGACATTGGGAAGGCTGACTTTTAAGGAGTGTTGAAGCTATGCAGTTGCTGTGAGAAGTAGTTTTATATCCCACTAGGCACCCTAGATCTACTGGCCTTCCCTAGATAAGCTCCCCTCTAGCTCCTGACAACTGCAGGAACCCAGAACCTGATGCCAGAGCAGCAGGGGTGTGTCCATAGGGCTCCAGGTAAGCTCACGCTTAGCTTAGCCGTTTCCCACCTCTTCATCTGCATGTAAACCCAGTCTCAGGGACAGGAGGAGAAAGAGACTCATTTTAGCATCCGGCTAACCCAGGTCCGTTCCCCAACTCTTCCCCGAGCACCAGTTTTTTTTTTTGTTTTTTTTTTAAATGTGCCCTAGGCATGAAACAGCTCTAGCCACGATCATCAAGCTAGGATGAACAAAGGGCTGCCAGTCTGCTCTGCCCCTGACTGATATAAGAGCACCACCACCAATCAGGTGTCTCTCTGCCCATAGCCAGGGGTTCCGAGCACCAGTTTTAAGACAGTGCCAGACTGATCTACGATAACCTATATATAATAATGGGGAACAAGGAGTCCTGGGGCACAGTGGCACGTGCTTGGTTGCTAACCGAAAGGCTGAGGGGCGACTCAAGCCTAACCATCATGAGGACGCGCGGGACCGGGCACGGTTTCTTTCTGTGGCACATGGGACTGTTTGCTTATGAGTTGGTCTGCTAACCACAAGGTCAGCAGTTCAAAACCAACAGTCGCTCTGAGGGAGAGAGATGAGGTTTTCTATTCCCCTAAAGAGTCACCGTCACAGAAACCCTCAGGGGCAGTTCTACCCTAGGCTTGCCATGAGTCAGAATCAACTTGATGGCAGTGGGTCTGGATTTTTAGGCAAGTCATTTAAATTCATGAGGTGTGCTTTTTGTCTTCTAGGGAAACCCTTTCAAACCACACCACCACAATGCTGTGAAGAGCGAGCGCGGGAGGACAACAGGTAGAAATAAATGCTTCCCCTCAGAGCTCGTGGATCTCCCTGGGTTGCCACTCAAAGCATTCCCCACGCGGGAGTGCCATCCTCTGGCCTCTGGCCTTTTCTACCGGACGATTGCCTGATGGGCGTGAGACCACCTTGTTCAGTCCTCTCACCTCAATGTCTGGTGCAGTATCCGGCCCCTAAGTGCTGAGTACCCCTGAGCTACTGGCTGCATTGTGTGGAGTGACTTTATCCCCATCAATGATGTGGGAAGAGCGCCCTCTGTCGTTCCAGGCTGTTAGTTGACAGGCAAATGGGGAAAATTCACAAAGCAACGTATTCTGAAGAGAAGTCTTACGCTAACTTAGGAGGAGGAGAGGCCGGAGGTTAATATCACAAACAAACAACAAATAAACAAACTCACTGCCCTATCTAGTCGATTCCAACTCATAGCAGCCCTATAGGATAAGGGAGAACTTTTCCTGTGGGTTGCCAAGTCTCTTGACAGTAGAAAGCCTCATCTACCTCCTGAGGAGCTGTGGTTTCGAACTACTGACCTCGAAGTTAGCAGCCCAACGCACAACCTCTACACCACCGGTGCTCCTTTCAGAGGTCGGTAGCTCTCTTCAAAACAAGACTGGTATTCAAATCTAGTTTTGCCACTAACTATATTACCTTAAAAACCAGCTGCTGCTCGGAAAGGGCCCCTTTAGAAGGTCCTGGGCAGAGACAGGGGAACATGTGGAGCAAAACGCAAAATCATTAAAAAGAAAGAAAGCAAAAAGACCAGGCTTACTGTCAGATCGAGCCTGGTGGAACCCCCAGACAAGAGACCCTTCAGGCCTGGAAATGAGCTCACCCCCATGGCTCCATCTTTAGCCAAACAAGAGACTGTTCTAGAAGGGGAGCAGTCACTGAGGGGAGTCCACACTCCTCCGAATAGTTCAGCATTGAGATGGAAAGGGCAGTGCGTCCTCCAGGTCAAAGTTCAGAAGGGTTAGGAAGGAAAGAGGATTGGAAACCGGAAATCCAGAGAAAGTAGGCCAAGGGATGTAATACTGTGGGGACTGCACTCGATGACACGGAATGCCAGGGGTACACGGTGCTGCATGGAGAACAGATCTGTTTCCCGTTCACAGTCAAACATTCAGCAGGATCCCGACTCGGGGTCACACACCTGGGTGGCTCACAGTAGGGTTTTCAGGGTGTGCATTGCCACGCCTTTCTCCCCAGGGCCTTTTGGGTGGTCTCGAACCCCCAGCCTTTCAGTCAGCAGCCCAGTGCCTTAGCCATTTTCAACACCCGGGGATTGCAGGGGGGTAGCTACAGCATCTACCATGAAGCAAACTCTTTCCTCGTCTACAGAATCTGGGTAAGGAATCTTGACCCTGAAAAGACTTGTCAGGGTGAAGTCAGATCATGCGCAACCCGTCCCCCCATATTGTTATCCACGGTCTGCGTTTTACCTTTTAGCCTCGGGACAATGTCCTCCTTGGCTGCGTAGGGGTCACAGCGAAAGCGGTCCAGGTGGTCAATGGTACACTGGCCAACGACGGGCTTCCGCCCAAACTGCCTGTGGTCGATGACCTTGATCACCAGGGGTGGCATGTACAACTCCTCCTTGGGCAGGAACTGCGGGCCACAGACGAAGCGGTCATTTCTCTTTCCAACATCCGCAGAGGGCAGTTTGACCAATAAATGCCCCCAAAGGGACCCACTCAGACCCTTCTGCAGAGCCGAGGAACTCCAGTAGGCTCAGTAATACAAGCAGTGTGGTGGCTGAGAGCGTGAGCCATGTCACTCCCGTCCTGGCTCTGCCCCCTGGGTTCCACGGCTTAGGGACCCCTTTGACCTTCAGTGCCTCCGTTACTACCTCAGGCTAGCTCTTGTGGTTTTGTGGCATCCTGACCTGAATGTGTCATTTCCCTCTGTAGGCCTCAGCTTCCCCATCTGTCACACGACAGGCTGAAGGAGATGGCCCTGGGGTTCAAGGCCTGCTGGAGGCACCACATGCAGGAAAATGGCTGGGGGGCTCAGGCAGGGAGGGAGCGGGGAGAGCGAAAGGTTCTGGACCTTCTGTCCCTTCCTGGGGAAGGGATGCCCCCTGTGGGCACCTGGGCAGGTACTTCTCCCCAGTCAGCAGTCTCTACCTGGAGGGATGTGCCAGGGATCTGGTCTCTGTCCACAGGGTCTCCTGATTGGGAGTTCATATTCTGCCCTCTAGGGGCAGACCAAGAAAAAGTCTGGAACAGGTAACAGAATTGATGGAAAGTTTGTTGGGGGAAATAATGATTGTTCTGTGTCACGGGACCTGGTTGAGGTTTTAAGAAACTATGACAACGGTGTGAGAGTTGAAAGGGGAAATGTCACTGACAAACTGAATAAAGGACGTAGTTATTCTAATTGCTATTGGATGTGGGAACTGTATGTACTGTCCATGCACATGTGTGTGTGCGCGTGTGTGCATGTGGTACACATATATCCGTGTTTCAACTGAAATGTACACGGGCATCAGGGAGTCTGGATACTGTACCACTTTCATGAAGAGGACAGAACTGGGAAAGTTGGGCGTCTTCTTCAGGTTTTTGATCACCACGGATTCCACCCTTTCTCCTCCACACTCCACCACCAGACTGGGGGACGTGATGGAAGCCATCTGGAAGTTCTTCATGTTTCTTAAGCCCCAAGCTAGAATCTAAGAAAACAATTTATGGAGAAGGGGAAGAACTCCAGCATGTTCTAAAGGAAAACGATGTCTTCAAAATCGGTCGCTGCTTTAAGGTGGGCTCGGGCAGATTTGCCTCAAGCCCCATGGGCCATTGTCCTGGAAAGCCCATGGGTCATGCGAAGAAAGCTGCTTTGCATTCTTTCCGTCTCCTGCCCCAGCTGCTCAAAGCCAATGTTGCTCAGAGTGTAGAACACAAATCCCGGCCAGGCCATGGAATCGCAGTCTGATCTCTGGCAAATTATTTCCCTCCCTCCCGCCTAGGTCTCCTCTAACCCGTTGCCCTCCAGGACTCTGGGCAACCTCCGACCTCTCTCAGCAGTTGAATGCATTCACAATTTTCCCTCCCCAGGATCCTAACTGAAGGTTGTCAGTTCCCATGTACCCAGAGGCACCTCGTCAGAAAGGTCTGGCTGTGAAAACCTGTAGAGCACACTCCAACTCCAACACACACAAACCTAAAGCCCTCTGCTATCAAGCCAGTTCTGCCTCATAACAGCACTACGGGACAGGGTAGAACTGCCCCTCTGGGTTTCCATCAATCTTTACAGGAGCAGAACACATCATCTTTCCCTCTGGGAGCAGCTGGCGGGTTTGAACTGCTGACTTTGTGGTTAGCAGCCCAACTCGTTACCCGCTTTGCCACCAGGGCTCCTGTAGCACATAGAGAGCGGGTAGCCATAAGTTGGAATTGACTTGACGGCCAGTGGGTAAGTCTCATCTCGAAACAGGGCTGATGGGATGATCTACCATAGCATCCAGTGTAAACTTCCCAACACGTGGCCTGCATTGCCCTCGTTTCAGAATGATCCCCACTGACCTCCAGGCATCATGAGAATGGAAATCTTGAACAATCGATCACAGGCCTGATGGGGTCCACTAACCCATCTAGCTAGTTCCATCAGCAGACTCTGTTCCAGTACTTTCTTCCCACCCTCCACCTCTCTCAAGTCCCCCTCCTCTCTGTTCAGACAGATGCTGTTCTGTGAACCCATCCTCCCTCCCTCAGCTCTCTGAGCAGTCCCCCAAACTCAGGAATCTGCAGGTTCCCAGCCAACAAGCACTCTTGACATTCTCCATAATGTTGAACCAGACCTCTCCTGGCTGCTTCCCAAACCTTCGACTTTGAGGAATAGTTCAAATTTGGGACCAATTCACAGGAAGTTGTAAGAAGCAAGAAACTATGCGGCAGTGTTCCATTTCTGATGCCAACGATCCCACCGCTTGGTAGCCACTCCCTTTGATTCGATGAAGGCAGTTTAAGGCAGCATACCTCAATCGCGGTGAGCTGAACCACAGGCCTGATCCCCTGGGGGACCATGTACAGATTCGGGGCCCTCTGTGAGGGAAGAATGGGAAGGTTGGAGCCATCCTAGGAAACAAACACGGGAAGATGCCAGTGACTCCCTTAATCCAGGCAGACTGGTCCTGGAATTATAGACCAGAGCTTTCAGCAGATGAGCTGAAGGAATAGACGAGGGAGACGTCTGCAGCTTACCTTGTCTCTCAGAATCAACTCTGCAGTTACAAGGACGTCCCCACAGGCCTTGTCCCCATTCATCACGGGGTGCCAGAGCAGTTTGGGCGTGATGTCCATTTCTGAGTTTAATTTCACCAGAGGAGAGAAAATACTCCTTCCTAAAAATTCATCTTTGCCCTGGAAAAAACAACCAGTCCTTCCCATTCACCAACCAACATCCCTTGACCTCCCCAGCCCTCGTGCATCTCGGGAAAGGCTAGTGATAATGATGCTACCACAGGACAAAACGTCGCCAGTGTCATTAAATGGCACATGTGGAGACGGCTCTATTGGCAAATGTTTGGGCGCTTATGCTTTGACAATAACGATCATAATAAATCGCCATGGTCCTTCCCTATCCCCAAGCCGTCTAAGAAGCTGAATTACTTACCACTTGGTCATTGTCAAACAGTTCCATGGTCACCTTGGGTGGGTTCTGTAGGACGGTGTGGGGCTCCCCGTAGATTTCAATCTCATCAAAGATAATCGTCTGGTCCCACGTGGGATTCAAGGTTGAGTGGATGATCTCAGTTGTTTTGCTTCGATGGAGGAAGGAGACGTGAGCATAAGGATCTAAAATAGGAATGGAGAAAAGAGAGTTAACAAGGAGCCCATAGAGTTCATCTCTGGAGGACCACACATTTAACCACGTGGTCAAGGGCCTTCACCATCCACCTGTGAGATAAAGGTCCAGTGAGGCCCCAGACGTACCAAGGCCCTCCCTCTGCAGAAGAGTCCCACGCAGCCTTCTGAGCCCAGAGCAGCACTTGTGTTAGGAGAGCAGGCTCTTCGGGCAGACAAATTTGGGATCTAATCCCACCCACCACATGACCTTGGGAAATACTTAACCTTTCTAAACAGTGGCTTCCTTCTCCACACAGACAGTAATATTACCTGCATCACAGAATTAGGAGAATCAAATGAGGTAAAAAATGGAGAGGAGAGAGCCTATCATATAGGGACTATTTGATAAATGCTAATTATCAGTATGATTGCTGATGCCGATGGTAATCCATGTAGTCAAGGAATAGTTCTCGAAGGCCAGGTCTCAAGGGCATAGATGCCCATGGGTTGACAGTCCGTGATAGCAGAAGGTTTTGTTCCACTCTACTTGAGAATACAGATTGTGGTCATGTGTCCTAGAAAATAATTTGTGTTCTAAATCATCACAAAACGCCTTTGCAGTGTACCTATGTGGGGGACTGAGTTATCTGGGCAGAACTCCAGAGTCTAACCTGAATCGTTGCACAAGTCAAAAGGGTGTTTGGTTTTTATCACTGTGACTGTCATTCAAACGCAACGCTTTGCTTTCCCTCCAATGATACCTGTTTCAAACTAGGGGCTCTGACGGTGTATTGGTTATGCCCGGAACTGCTGATCTCAAGGTCAGCAGTTTGAAATCACCAGGCACTCCTCGGGAGACAGACTGGGCTTTCTACTCCAGTAAAGAGTCATCGTCTGAGAAACCCCAGGGGGTTGTTCTACACAGTCCTATTGGGTTGCTATTAGGAACTGGAACCAATTCGATGACAGTGAGTTTTGGGTTAAGGTTTCAAACTGTAAGGAATATGCTTCGAGTTTGATGAAATGTTAAATCAACAGTGCTGATGGAGTCTTTGATTTTCAGTGATGGACTGCCCTCTGGTGGAAAATATTTGAATCTGTCCTTTTTAAAAAACAACGTTCTAGGGCTGAGGAACCTTGGTGGGGTAGTGGGTTGTATGCATTGGGTTGCCAATGGCAAGGTCAACAGCTCGAAACCACCAACCACTCCACAGGAGAAAGTCGAGGCTTTCTACTCCAGTAAAGAGTTACAGTCTCGGAAACCCACAGGGGCCATTCAACTGCCTTGCAGGGTCTCCGGGAGTTGGAATCAATTTGATGGTCGTGAGTTTGAGGGATTTTGAGTCATATGATAGGGGCAGAATCCGTGAGTGGTATTAAATGATTACTAGGATCAGCTGCTAACCCCAAAGTCTGGAGGTTCAAGTCCCCCCAGAGGCAATGCAACAGAAAACCCTACCCCTACGGACCGCTGTTCCACTCGGGCATACATGGCTCTCCATGAGTCAGCATCAAGGCCACAGCAAATGGCTTCCCTTATATGATAGGGTTACCCGTGAATCCACTCTAATTTATAAAGCAAACAAACAACAATAAAACCAATCCCAAACTCCAAACCATTCACAAATGTTGACTGTTTAATGTTCATCTTAGAACCCACTTCACACCTGATGCAAACACACTCAGGTAGATGGGCATGGCTTTAAGAGGCTGAGGAAGCTCTTGTGAGCCTCAGGTCCTGACATGTAAAGCTTCCCACACAGCCCAGGAGGCCCCTGTGCCATCTACGGTCTCAAACAAGAGCTGTAATCTCCAGATGGGTAGATGCCCCCACCCCTGCTACAGCCTGCTTTGAGCCAGCCCAAGGACAAGAAAAAGCAGACAGAATGTCAGGGAGGGACGATGAAGCCACATGGTCTTAGGGTGCTGGGGATTTGGGGAGCAACCTACAGAGGAAGTCCAATGAACTCCCAATTGTTCATAGTCTGGTGTTATAGACCCGTGATACTTTTGTCACCTTGAGATCAGTACAAGGCAGTTGAAAGGCTCTTCATTTATCAAACACCCAGGGCTCCGAGGCAACAACAAAAGCTGCCGTGCATGTGCAGAGGGAGCAGAGCCTGCTCCTTCCTCTTGGTGCGTTTCATTATTTAATCACGTAATGGCTATCGGTATACAAAGGCCGTGCTTCTCCGGCCCCCAGCTACAGCGCCCGATGCCTCTGGTTGTCAGCCAGTAACCGGGTGATTGACGGCACCCATACCAAGGAATCTCAGCACCAAGATGCTCCCTGCTGCCACTGCAGACGGCAGGAAGCACTCACCTGATGCAAAGTAGAACCACACCATGCAGCCATGTGAACCTGGGAGATGAACACCAACCCCCCCTCCCCCCACCTTCCTATTTACCTGAAAAGCTGTCCTTGTCCAAAGCAATGAGGTTTCTGGCTTGGTAGACGTAGCAGCGCAGGTGGTAAAGGTAGACTCCTGGAGGAAACAGGATGGGGATGACTGACAGGAAACACAACAAGGCCACCCCGTTTGCTCTATAATAGCTGCTCATTATTTCAGATAAATGCGCCATCCAAATCTGGTTCCCCACGGGGCGGGAGAGGAGGGAACCCATAGAATAGTGGTGAAGTAGTCCTATTTCCTATAAAATAAAGCTTAATTAAAAAACCTGACACTCCTTCTGTAAACGACATGATTTGGGGGCACTGCTTGTCGTCATAGACTTAAAATGAAACTGGGTCACCCAGCAGTTACAGAACCTGTGCTTTCTATACATCCTTTTCTATAAGGGGCTGGGGGCGGTGCTCACGGAAGGAAGAGTGGGCATTTCCAGCATGCCAGCTCATCCCAGACAATTACACCCAGGGAAATCCTGCAGGGCCGTCTACCTTGTCCTAAAGCGTCGCTACGAATCGGAAGACTCAATGTAGTGGTTCTCCAACTTCCTAATGTGGCGACCCTTTCATACAGTTCCTCATGTGGTGGTGACACCCCCCAACCATACAATTATTTTCGTTGCTACTTCATCACTGTAATTTTGCTGCTGTTATGAATCATCATGTAAATATCTGATAGGCAGGATGCATTTTCATTGTTACAAATTGAACCTAATTAAAGCATAGTGATGAATCACAAAACAAGATGTCATTATATATTGTGAACTATTTATTTCTAATGCCAAATAAATGAAATTTTATCTTGAAGCATGGTGTAACTTCTTCACGCCGGGTACTCGTATGTGGGCGTATCTGCATGTGGGCGGACCCCCTGGAGACCGATAGAGGAGCGGTGTCTCGGTTCCTAAGACCATTGGAAATACTATGTGTTTTCCGATGGTCTCAGGTGACCCGTGGAAGGATCATTCGACCCCCAAAGGGGTCACAACTCACAGGTTGAGAACTGCTGCTTAACGGGATTTGGTACACTTTCTGTACTATTTCAGCATCAGATGTGGGAATTTTTGTTGTTGTTAACATTTTCAAACTCTTATACTCCTTGCAGTTAGCAGCCTAATGCTAAATCCACAGCACTCCCAGGGCTGCTTAAGCCTCTGAGCAGTAAGAGCAAAGAAACACCTGTTATAAAGCATGTGTCAGGTATTGAGTACACAATATTAATGTGTTCGACCCCCACACTGTTATCCCTAGAGGCCTGGTGGTGCAGTGGACTAAGCAATGGGCTGCTAACCTCAACGCTGGCCATCTAAAACCAGCTGTTCTTCAGGAGAAAGATGCGGCTGTCTGCTCCTGTAAAGATTTACAGCCTCTGATACCCCTGTCTCTTTGAGTCGGTATCAACTCAATGGCAGTGAGTTTGGGCTTGGGTTTTGTTTGTGCACGCGTGGGAATCAACTCATGGCGGTAGGTTTCGTTTTTTGGTTTTCCTGGCTCCAAAATTCCTAAAGCTTATCACCGATGCCAACCTTTATTAAACTTTTTGAGCCTTTTAAATAACAATTTGGGGGAGTTCAACAAAATAGAGTTCAGTGCATATTCCCTAAAGAGCTTACATCAGAATTGGTGCTTGCATCGCCCTCCAGGCCAGCCAGGAGCTTTTAAAATGTGTTCTAAAAAGTCCTTCCCACCAATTCTGAAAACAAAAGTCACGTCCACACAGAGAGATTTTCAAAGACTTTTTGTGGCGAGTCAGCGAGTTCTCTTGAAATACGTTCTAGGAATGAAATTCACCAGCGACAGGTCACACTCACGGTCAAAGTTACAGGAGATGATGGGCGTGTTAGCACCGAACACTGTGGTGGCGCTGTGCTTGGGCTTCTCCCCGCTCTTCTCCTCTGCATCCTCCGTGGTGTCTGTGCCCTAGTCAGAAAGACTGTCAGTCAGCGGTACCCAAAACAGAGCAAGGTTGCCTGATGGAGACGTTTTCCACCCCCTCGCCCCATTGGAAGAGATGAGGCAACCGCGGGATTATCTGACTCCCCCTGAGGTCACCTAGCTGGGATGTGGCAGAGAACATCAGGGCCAGCTTTCCTACCCCAAGGCAGGTTTCCCAAGCCCTGCTCCTGACCGAGAAAGAAAAGGAAACACGGAAAGGCCGAAAGCCAAAGCCCAACTCACTGCCGATGAGTCGATTCCAACTCACAGCAACCCGGCTGGACAGAGGACTGCCCCTTTGGGGTTTGGGAGACTTTCAATCTTGCCTGGGAGCAGACAGCTTCATCTTTCTCCCACAGTGCGACTGGTGAGTTTGAACCCGCTCACCTTGAGGTTAGCTCAGTGTGTAGCCCGCTAGGCCACCAGAGCTCCTTCAAGGATAAATAGGATGGTTGAACGGACAGGGATGAGAAAGAGCAGCAGAAAAGGACACCGGGGGTGTAAAAATGTAAAAGTCGGCTGGAATTGATTCCCGCCTGTCTTGTTTTCCGTCTACCTCGGCCATTTTCTTGTTTATTTTTTCCTGCTTCCTTCTCCCTGCCTTCTTGACCATGCCTCCAATATGAAGTGCCCTCTAATTTCGAGGACCATCCTTCTGTATCCCCCTTGTGCCTGTACCTGGAACTTTCTTGGCTGGGGCACAACTGTTTCCCAGGAATCATGCAAGGAAGTCAGGCTGCGGCCATTGCTAGCCTTTACTGAACCCAGCGTTCTGGTACACGCATCTCTGGAGAATGCTGGGTGAAGCCATGTGAACCAGGCTTTCCTGCTGGAGCGCTTAGCAATTCCCGTATGTCCCTGGCTTATGAATGCTACACAAACGACTGAGCACCTGTCGGACCGGCTTCAGGGGGGGCGGGGGGTTGTAGAAAACTCTCTGGAGTGGATCGTGTTAAAGTGCATGCAGCAATATCATTTGAGCTTTGCATACTTGGGACTTACAAGGGCACCTTCAAGTTTAAAGATGGCAGCTGCCCCGTGCGTCTCGGAAGGAGCCATTTTTCTCCTCCAACGTCTGCGGCGAAAGGTATCTGAACTACGTTGTTTCCAGTGAAATTTCCAGCCTATTAAAGAAGCATATTCCCAGCCCTCCCGGTCTTCCAGTTCTTCCATGGCCTGAAACAGAAGGAGTGAAACGTTCGATGTTAACGATAATGATATTCCTTACATTGATAAAGCAGATGATCACGGGGCCAAGCAACACATATGCATATTGAAAATCTTGTGTGACTGGAACTATGCTGGGAATCGGGGGTGCCACCAAGAACAAAGCGGCAGGTCTCTGTGCTGGGGGGGCTGACAGCGTGTGACGAATACAGGGAGATAATCAGGCAGAGACCATGCAAGGAGATGTGCGCCTGGGCGGTGACCAGGTCCACACTCTCTCTCGTGCGCTCCACTCAGTGCTGACTCAGAGCCACCACTCAGCGGGTTTCTGAGGTTGTAACGGGAAAGACTGAAAGCCGTCTTTCTCCCTAAAGAGCTGCAGATGGTTTCAAACTGCCCACCATTTGGGTCGCAGCCCAACATGTAACCACTGCTCCACACCGGCTCACCACCAGGGCTCCTGATTCAGACTGCTGGGTGGGATGAGCCAAGCGGATTTATTTTTTCTCAAATTGCTTTGTAACCTCACTAGCTCCAAAGAACATGGCTACTTAAAGCGATTGTGATGTAGCTGGACAAGCTGTCATCTCATCCTTTCCCATAAAATCTGTGACCGAGTGTGAAGATGTACAGCCTCGGAAACCACAGAGGCAGTTCCACTCTGCTCTCTAGGGCCGCCATGAGACAGCATTGACTCGACGGCAGTGCGTTTGAGTTTTTGATAGCTAACCATTCAAAGGTGGACCCGATTACTTAAGAGAATCTCTGAAGTAACTAGTACCCAAGGAGAAGAGCGTTTTTCAAACCCTGGTGGTGTGATGGTGTAGCCTCCCTCCGATAACTGAGAGGCTGGTGGTTTGAGACCACCCTGCAGCTCCAGACAAGAAAGGCTTAGCAAGCTGCTTCTGTCCGAGCCTAGGAAACTCTCTGCGTCCATTTGACTCTGTTACACGGGATGGTGATGAGTTGAGATCAGCATAACCATATGACTTAATTGTATATGAATAGAAAAAAAGCCTCATTGTCTACCACTCAATGCTGACTCACAGACAACCTTAATTTTCAACACTGTATTCAACTCAATTCCTTGAACCAAGACGGGCACTGGCAACTTGGTGGGCACCGCCTTAAGGGTGGAGCATGTACGCACGGAAGATGCACGGAAGAAGCACGGGGTCTTTCCTTTCGTGAGCAGCCATTGGAGAGGTTGACATTGTACTTGATGTTGGGGTGACCAGATTTAAGAAATGAAAACTACTACGGAATAAGCTCTGTGATCTGCCAGTCACCAGTAGGACTTGTGGGAACACAGATTTCTGGGCTGCAGCTCCCAAAACCCCAAGCAAACCCTTGGCTTCCAAGTCTGTGCTGACCCACAGCGACCCGGTAGGGTGGGGTAGCACCGTTCCCCTAGGTTGGGAATCTTTGTGGAGAGCAGGCAGCTTCATCATTCGCCATTGGAGTGGTTGGTGGATTCCAACTGCCGACCTTGTGGTTAGTGGCCCAACATGTACCCCACTATGCCACCAGGGCTGCCCCCACCCCCGAGTTTCTAAGTCAGTGGGCTGGGAGGAGGCAGTTCTAAGAAGTTCCAGGTGATGCAGATGCTGCCGAAGGGCTTTCTTGAGGACCTTTGAGCAGAGGATGAAGCGCTTGGTGTGCATATGGTTTCTGTGTCAAGAGTCCAGTTAGCAACGGCGTCTGGTGGGCAGAGCTCCCCCCACACCCTGCCCTGCTGCTCTTACCCTGGCAGTACTTGAAGCATTTTGGGTCAAATCTTTCTTGCGTTTTCGGATCAGCCTTCGCCGTCGGTGAGTGTGGTACATTTTCTCTGCTGCCACCCAGGATTTGGGCTTGTTATCAGGAGGGATGGTGATTCCATACTCCCAACCTGGAACAGAGTTTGTGAGGAGTTATCATAAGACATGCCTTTGCCGATCATGAAGCTAATACCCCCTCACTCTCTCTGCCCCCAAACGTTGTGTGTGGTCCTGGCAGAAGGTCGCTGCTCTTTGCATTTTGCCTTGCAAACCCAGCCAAACTGGATTTAGACCCTTGCCTTGGCTCCCTCCTAAAGAGCCCTCTTTTGTGGCCCTGGTGTTATCGTTGATTTGATTGTATTCCTTGTAATTGAGTGCAGCTATGAATAAAGTAAGGAGCCCAGATGCCACAATGGTTAACCACCCAGCTGCCGACTGAACGATACCCAGTTGCTTCTCTGGAAAACCCACCCCCACTGCCATCAAGTCAACCCCAAGTCACCGGGACCTGCCTCTTTGGGTTTCTGAGGCTATAAATCTCTACGGAGGCAAAAACCTCATCTTTCTCCCTTAGAGTGGCTGGTGGGTTTGAACTGCTGACCTTGGGGCTAGCAGCCCAATGTGTAACCCTCTAGACTACCAGGGCTCCATCTGGAGAAGGAGATGGAGGTTTGCTTTCATAAAGCTGACTGCCTAGAATCATCAGAACAAAAAATCTTACCATAGTGAATGATG